CTGTGTTGTTGTCTGTCTGAAAAGACCAACACTCATGAATGCCATACCAAGCAGAGGAACAGTATGTACTACCCACTATGTCATACTCAGTTTTGAGTGCAATGCTATTAAGTTTCTGAGAGGTAACCTCAGTTGCAGCGTTCATGCCTGGACTGCAGGAATGACAGTCCATAGTTAGGTTTTAATAATCGTTCCATTTCATTTCTGTTACTATGGCTCCTCTCAGTAATCAGTGTTCTTAAAATAAATCACCTTTTACAGCATTAGGTGTGTATGCAAAGGACTTCAGGAAAGTACAAGAAATGATTTCCTGTTATTGTGGTTTTTATCACACCCTTATGTTGACAAGTCTCACCCTCTGTCCTATGATTGGCTAATAGTCCTTCATTACTAGCCAATGCTATAACAGGAGTGTGAGGCTTTTCAAAATAAGGGTGGGGGAGATTAAATGAGTGACATGAAATCAAATTAAATTGAGCCAAATCCAGTGGGCAGCTCATGAATTTCAGAGCTGCTATAATTACTCCACTCTCGCTCTAGTGCAGGTACAGCAAAACCTCCCTAATATGGCTCCTCATACGCTGGTTAAAATTCAATCAGACTGAAGAATACAAAAATAACCGCATTCACAAACAATGCTGAGGCGCCATTTTGTTGTCTTGGCTTGGAGTGGAAAGGGTGTGCTGTTTTCTTGAAGAAGCACAAGTGGTGAATTTTCCTACACTGACTGAAACAGGGTAAAGTACTGAATAAATACTTGCAGTTCAGTGAGACTAGGCTTGACTCTTCATTTTAGTCACGTGTGTATTGAATGATGTGTGACATCAGTGTATTTTTGTAAGGCTCTAGAAGTGAAAGGTCACATCACATTTAATCACAGCACATAGACATATGCAAAAGATATAGCCTGCATTAGATATACACTATATGGCCAAAGGTTTGTGGACATCTATACATTGCACCCATATGAACCATGGGCATTAACATGGCACTGGTCCCACTTCTGCAGCTGTAACAACCTCCACTCTTCTGGGAAGGCTTTCCACAACATTTTAGAGTGTGTCTGTGGGAATTTCAGTCAAAAGAGTGTTTGTGAGGTCAGACACTGATGCTGGACGAGAAGAATTGACTCACAATTGATGTTCCAATTCATCCCAAAGGTGTGTGTAGTGGTTGAGGTCAGGGCTCCATGCAGGTCACTGCAGTTTCTCCACACCAAAATATCTTTATGGACCTTGCTTTGTGCATAGGGGCATAGTCCTGCTGGAACAGAAAAGGGCCTTCCCCAAACTGTTGCCACAGAGTTAGAAGAATATTATTGTCTAAAATGTCTTTGTATGCTGTAGCATTAACATCACCCTTCACTGAAACTAGCCCCAAACCCGATAAACAGTCCCAGACTATTATCCCACCTCCACCAAACATTACTGTTCTGGAAAGTAATGTTCTCCTGGCATCCGCCAAACCCATATTTGCCTACCAGACTGCCAGATAGTGAAGCGAGGTTCATTGCTACAGAAAACATGTCTCCACTGCTCCAGTGGCAGCGTGTTTTATACCTCTCCTGCTTACACTTGGCATTGCACATTTTGATCATAGGCTTGCGTGCAGCTGCTCGGCCATGGAAACCCATTTCATGAGGCTCTCGACACACACTTCTTTTGCTGATGTTAAATCCAGAGGCAGTTTGGAACTGAGTAGTGAGTGATACAACAGAGGATATGTGCTGCGCTTCAGCGCTCAGCGGTCCCGCTCTGTGAGTTTGTGTGGTCTACCGCTTCATGGTTGAGCTATTGTTGCTCTTAGACACAATAATAGCACATAGAGTTGACTGGAGCAGATCTAGCATATCAGAAATTACACAAACTCACTTGTGGCAGAGGTGGTTTCCTATGATAGTGCCATGTTTAAGGTTACAGAGCTCTTCTGCATGACTGATTCTACTGCCAGAGGTTGCAAGGTTATGTACTTGATTTTATCCATCTGTTAGCAATGGATGTGGCTGAAACCACGTACTTTTGGCCATATAGCATACATATAAAAGCACTAATACATTCTACATATATGCCATAAATCTAAAGCTAATGTAGGCTAGTGTACACACTACAACTGTGCTAGGTTAAGACCTAAATGCATCTTTGTCATGTAATAGCCAATATTTTGAATGTGCTGCTATTTAAAATGGAACAGTGAGATCTGTTTTTAATCTTTATTTCACAACTGGCCACTCTTCTTCTAACCTTTAACAAGATTATCTGAAAATGGCTAAATAAGTTCAAGCCATGCTGTACAACATCGGGTCTAAAAGCACTTGCAGCAGTTTAATTGAAGGACAAAGCAAACTCTCTCTCCCTTTTGCCACTCTATCAATCTTAAATCGGATCTCGCCATCTCGCCTCCAGGAGTGATACCATATGGCTGTTTTTACACCGTTCCTTTAGGGGCCACTTGCCCAAAGCTCCTGTGTGAGAAGGCCGAGAGGGCTCTGGCAGTGTAGCCTGAGCGGAAGAGATGGATTGCAAGTCAGCCTCCAGTCAGCGGACCGGGCTCATACCCAAAGACACACCTGGTGCACGCCACAATGCACATTACTCGTCGTGTATCTCCCGCGACCTTAAGGTCACCCAAATCGTGAACTCACGCTCACACAGTACATACAGGTATGAATGACTCATCCGATTAAAGCAATTTTTCAGATAGCAGATTAGCAATGAGATGTGTTTAATGGGCTAAATTGTGCTTTGCCAGGTGGTCAGTGTCAGGGCCTGAAAAACACTACCCTTCACTCTGCAAATGGTGCTTTGAATTAACATGATATGGTCATACAGAAAAAAAATATTGTTGCTGTTCAAAAAAACATTTTTCAAAATGGTAGCTTTATAAGAGAAGGCAAAACCTTCATGACTTTTGATGCAAGTGAATGGCAAAATATTCCATTCCAAGCTATTTTGGAGCTTTTGTATTGATCAATTTATTGTGATGTTTTCATATAATGTAAAGGATTTTTTTGAACAGCAACAATATGTTCTGTCAACACTACTGCCATCTTTCAGTTACTTCTTTTGGAAGGAACTGAGTTCACCTAACACACATTGTTCATGTGCTACTGATTGACACATTTAAATAATGCAAATTCTTTTTTTTTCATTGTAAGAATGTGAAGGTGCATAAAAAATACAGTGGAATGTGTACATTTTTCAGCACAGATATTAAATGCACTGAGAGGTTAAAAGGAGGCAGTAGAGCAGTAGACTAGTGTTCCTCACCCACACAAGGCTATCATCTGCACCAGTGCTCTATCAGTTGTTCTGTCTGTTCCACCATATCCCACATTCTCCACCTTAGAGAACAGAAAGACCTCTCTCTCTCTCTCTCTCTCTCTCTCTCTCTCTCTCGCTCTCTCTCTCTCTGTCTTTCTCTCTCTTTCTTCACGCCTGGCCGGCCTGTCGGCTCTTGTTCCAGTCTGCTCCTCAGATGGATGGCTGGGCCGCTGGGTCCTAATGAGCACTCCTCAGCAGAAGCATTCAGGCAAACAAAGGCCAATACAGACACCAACCTCCTCCCAGTTTACCACACCAGCACACCATCCTCAGCAGCTCAACAACTCACAGCATGCATTACAGCAACTGTTGTCTGAAAACTCTCTCAGTAGCCTCCTTCCCACTGTAGGACCATTGACCGCTATCATGCCATCATGCCATTCTACACCAGCACTGGCTTGTGTGGTTGGGCTGTTTTCAGTTTCAACACTGAATGAGGCATCACAAAAGTGACGTGTATAAAGCCAATCAGTGTATCATTAGGTCATACGACTTACATGCTTCTGCTGCTCTGAGCACAGTTGGCTAAGCATGCTGGGTATGGTTTGTTAGCATTCCATGTCAAACTGCACCCAAGTGGAAAGGCCGTTAGAACGGTTAAACTGCAGTGGACAAGAGGAAAAAGTCCAGCAGGGCAGTGGCAGCCTGTGTTATGGTAAGCCTCAAATCCTCAAATGCCCTTTTGCACATGCCAGGAATGTAATGGAGGTGGAGGCACCTTTATTTCACTTAAGTCTCTCAATTTCACTTCTCTCACCCTCTTAAGCTTCTGATTAAGATGTAGCTAACACTCTTCAGGGTAGGTGGTCATCATTAGCTGTCCCAACACACAACAGATAGAACGGATGGAAATCATGGAGCAAGAAGAAGGTGTCCACTTCTATATGTGTTCCTCACCCATGCAGCTCTATGAGGTTTGTTGACTCTGATAGAAGCAGAGGGCAGCAGGACACTGATGGGCCATGACAGCCAAGGCACATCTCCTTCTCTCCATTTGTTATTCCACAAAAAGCAGGATGCAATTCCGTTCTCTCTCCAAACCGTTCATTTCAATCCAGCTGGGAATCACTATAGCGATGCAGGGCACACTTTGTGAATGTGTGCCAACTGTACCAATGCTTGAATAAATGTTAAATTCATCTGACGCTTGATTCATAAATATGGCATGATAAAGAGAATTATTAACAGAGGTTATGACAGAAAAAATCAGAGGGTGCAAATTTCTGCCTGAAGGCACGAAACACTGGGAGTGACATGGGACAGGAGGGGTAACAGGGTGAAGAAAGGAAAATAGCAGAAAAGATGAACACAATTTGATTTTGTGCATAAACACTGGAGTTTGCTTATTATGCAAGCATTATTTTCCCCCTAGGAGCTCATTAAAGTCTTGAATGCAGCAGAGAGACAGGAGAAAAGCCCCCTATCACCTGCTGGAGAGAGAGCGAGAGAGACACAGAGAGAGACCAGCCAGAGAAATTCATGTCACTGGGAATAGAGATCTGCCACTGACAATGAACAAGTCACTGTCTCACACACACACACACACACACACACATACACACACACACACACACACACACACATTCTAAATAAGCATGCTGACACCTAAATGAATGTTATTGTATACCCCCGCAACACACGTGTACACACACACACACACACACAAACATACACACTCCATAGCATGTGGATTGTGTGAGTATTTAGTTCTTTAAGCCAACAGCTGCATCACATTTCAAGGCCGAGAATCAGATTAAGAAAAATAAAAATGACCATTTAATTTTTATTGGATCAAAGCAAATAAAAAATAAACAATCATTAAATCAACTGATTGATGAGTAAAAGGGAGGAGTTTTGCCTGCTTAATATTCACATATATCTTACAGTCAATGATAATAAAATTCCTTTATAGTAATTCTGATATAGGTTCAGTGTAGCCACATTTTTTTTTTGACCAAAACAAAAACAAGAAGCATCGGTAGCTGGGCTGCAGCCTCATGATCCACACACACAATCACTAAGTATTAACACTGAAATACGGAAATACAGATAGTCAACCAGATTCAGTTAGTCATAGAGTATATCATATAGAAATTTGAAGTTTTTTATATATCTATATATATCTGGTATACAGCAAGAGTCTCTTTGAGGAGATTTGGAGATCCTCCAGTCATGAAAGAGCAAAGGGTGCCCCCCACCCCACTGTGAGAGGAGAGGACGGGCCGGAGAGATGCAACAGAGTGAGTAAAATTAACCATTAGGACTGAAGGGAAGAGTGCGTGAGATCAGTAATGTTCATGGAGAGAACGTACACCGAGTAGGGCTAAGCGTTAATGTGAGTTAATGAGGGTGGATGGTCAGGGGAGAGATGGAGGTTGCGGTTCGGTGATGATGGACATTCCTTAAAGCAGATGAAGGTGTGGATGATATGTGCGTGGGGGGGGCAATAGCCTCTGTAGTTTGTTTGTTAATCATTAATTATCATAATCATAAGGGTAATAAAAAAAGTTTTGGCTGTCCAGAGCTGTAGTCAAGCAGCAGAGCGAGTGAGTGTGTTGGAGAGCCTGCCATGCCAATTCCTTCTAATTTTTAATTTTAAACTCTATCTCTCTCTTTCTCACACATACGCTCTCTGTCATCCACTCTCTCACTCACTCTCTCTCTCATTCTCCACAGTCCTCCCCCAGGCCGGCGAGCTGAAGAGCATTAGTCCCTCCGTGGCAAGCCCCTCCTCTACAGGGGGAAGACGAGGAAGCCAGAGAAGGTGGAGTATTTCCAGCCGCCCATCAGGTTGCCCCGCTCCAGCTTGAGGTAGGCGCGGTCACCTTTCTCCATTTGGATCAGAACACCGTTACTGGCAGCCTCGCGCGTCACGTCCTGATCCCCGGCAAAGGCCGAAATCACTGGCCACCCGTTGTGCATGAGGCTCACCTGCAACACAAATGCAGGTTGTTAATCCATTGAGATAAACAAACCTGTCAGCTGATCATCCAGTCAAAAGTTTGGACACAACTCATCGAAGGATTTTCTTTATTTTAACTGTTTTCCACTTTTTAAGATAGTAATGAACACATTAGAACTATGTCATAACACAGAATTGTACAGTGGCTAAAAGAGTTAAACTGTCTAATTTGTCTTGATGCAGTTTTCTGCATCAAGCATTTTCGGCGTATGTGAGGAGCCACCACTTGTTGGGACATATATATATATATATATATATATATATATATATAATTTGCATATCATTGTGTGACATATTGCCACTTTTTGTTTTGGAGACAATTTCGCATCAACTTTAATGTTTAGTATTTGTCCTCTAAGCAAATTTATTTTGTATTTAAGCATAAGCTATTAGAGTAACATGTATATTTCATTGTGAAATGCATATTCATCATCATCATCATCACTTATCACATCAAATATTCAGTCAGATGTGTCCAAACTTTTGACTTTTATGTGTATATATAGTCTTATGTAAAAGTTTGAAACCTTTCCCATTAAAATGATGTTTTATTGATTTTCTAAATGAATATAACACATTCTCTACTGAAAACACAAATAAATGTCACATTTTTCAGGAAATTGGAATGCACATTTCTGTTTATTTGCTGAGTTTAACATATCTGAAAAAAAACATAACATGTAAAATATGCCTTAACTTTTGCTTTTGTCGTTGTTTTATATTTTATGTTAAATTGACATTAAAATTTGCAGTAGTGTGTTCTCTGTAAAGGATGTGTTCAATTTATTTCACTTAGAAAATAAGTTAGACAAGATGTTTGACGAGGGATGCTCAAATCTTCGCACACAACTGTGTATTGTCACTGTCGAAAGAAAAATAAGTATCTCCAAAATAGTAACTTTACAGGTGAAGGCAAAAACATTCTTTACTTTTAATGTAAGTCTATGGAAAGAGATTTTTTTCCTAAGCAATTCTGGTGCATTTTATTGGTCCATTCATCATGAAATTTTCACACAGTGTAAAGAACAGCTGCTGTGTTTAAATGATGTAGAAAAGTGGAAATCGCAAAATTGACATATATGTTTTTCTTTGGACAGTGATGATATAAATTTTTTTTGAATGAACCAGTAGAAATGGTCCAAAATACTGTTTCATTAATGTACAGAAACATAATGTTTTTTTTTCCTTCTCCTATAATGTGATATGAGGCTTTGGTCTTACAGAGACCCTACATATAAATATAATTTGACTCATATTATTAAATTACATATCATCTCAAACATCTCGCATTGGTTTCCATGTATTTACTGAATAATAGGAATAGAAATGTTGAAATAGACAAATGGCTTATATAAAGACACACCTACACTCACAAACATTTTTTTCTTTCTACTTTTCTCTTCATCCTCTTCTTAAAGAAAAATAAGATGTGAAAAGTCTCTTTTCTTTTCCATATATAAACTACCATAAAAGCAACGAGGCATAAGTTCTGACACAAACGCTTCAAATGAATACTGCAGTTCAAGGTGATATGATACACTTTACTGTAGAGGTCCAGGCATTAGGAGACCAGCTGGCCTTCTATCACCTCTTCTTTCAGAATTCAGAATCACTCTATTTATTTCTAATGCTGGCGAATGCTTGACTATCACAACCTATTGTTTCCTTGAGTGTTAAAGCTGTTCACCATCTTTATGGGCCTGAGTGAGGACTGACACGCTTTGTTTGTGGCTGTATTCTGTGCCAGACTCTTTGGATACTTTCAGAAAGGGAGGAAACTGGCATTTGATAGATGTTCAGTCTGTGTGCAGTACAAACAGAGGTGAACTGCCACTGCCAAGCCTGGGAATTACACACACATGAACACACATTTACACACAACAGAGCCAAAAGACAGGTGACAAAATATGAGACAAAATACCCAACAACTCTGTCCAATGCCTCGTACCACAGTGATGTGTTAATAGATCAGCACTGTGAAAGCTTAGCAAATGGGGTGTAGAATAATAGCAGCGTTAAAAGACATGCGTGGCACAAAGAGTTTTTCTGAGTGACTTGTTCTCTCCAGAGAAAAATGGACTGTCTTAAAATTTCAGGCCCAGACATGCGCCCAGTCGCCCTCATCAGCCGCAATTACATGGCAGAGCAAATGGAGAAAGCGGTCGGACCATGGTGTCAGGTCTATTCAAGCCACTTCATTAATGCTAAAGCACCCAATTAGGAGAGAGAATATGGATAGAAAGCCGACTGAATGGGTCTCCACCCTCAGTTTAATGCAGCTGTTGGCAGAACAGACAGATTCTGACACACAGCTTCCGGTCCAGATAACAGCCAGCAGCGCGCTGACAAAAGACCCAACAGACACCCCCTTCCCACCACCATCACCACCCCACCACACCCTTTAAACACCACCAAAAATGCCACCCAGTCACATGCTTCTCTTTCTCCCGTCTTACAGACATAATGACTTATGCCAGGTTCAAGAGAAAACAAGAGTGCTTCTCTTTCTTTCCCGATTGGTACGTCTCCATTCACACAGTCAGATACTGAGAGTCAGAGAGCACAATTTCCCTAATTACCCACTGTCACATTCAGAGACTTAGGAAGAACAATGTTCAGTAGAGAAGTTTCAAGAATTTTTCTACATTAAGCTTTCTGAGGGCATAAAGGTCGGCTTACATTCTTTTTTCTTAAATCTTAGCCTAAGCCTAATGGAAGCTGTCTGTGTGGATAGATTTAATATATGCGGTACAATAGTGCTACATTTCTATTTATGTTATGATATTTTCCTATTTCAGACCAGGTATGCGCCATAACAATATACTAAAATGTTCTGTTTCAGTGCATTATTACTGAAGATATAATGTAGAAAAGGAATACAAATTTCTGTCTATGTGAAACCGGAGCTACTTAACCTGATTGAGCAGGGCCTGTAGAGCTTGCTGAATTCTAAGAGGACACCTAAATCAGTGCAAATGACTGGAATATGAAAAATGGAATACATTCTCCGGCAATGCAGACACCGCCATTCAGGCCTTTACACCTTCTGTCCAGGAAAGCTGAGGTGCACCCTGAAGCTTTTGTGAGAGGACGGTGCTATCTGGCATTACGCATTCTTTAGACCCAAGAGAGGGTTTATATATCATATACATCACTATATCACTACAATGTTATTATTGTGTCATTACTATTGATTAACAGTCTGAATTACAGCAAGGCCACAATAGAGGCATACTATCTATACCTCTCAAGCTTTTCAGCATGTTGGTTGCATGATGTAGGATTTGCACCCTTTATTTTGTGCAATTTGAAGAGTATGATATATATAACAAATTACTGGAAGCTATTAGAGCTTTCAATAATTTGTTATATACCATCATCTTATTATAAGAGGATTATAGCGCAATCATCACTGTGTTCTTGCATTATGCATCTTACCATATGCCTTTGCTTGTGCTCCATTACCGTTTGCATTTCACACTTCTTCTTACATAAAGACTGAAAGAGTTAGCAACATTCATGATTTTATTTCGCTCATCTCATTATACAATCTTGTCTCTGACATGGTTTCTCAGACTTCAAAGCACCCTCTGTGAATTCCAAGTAACCATTTAGAAGGCAAAAGGGATTTTAATGTTCACATGACTGCAGTCAGAGCCTTCACTCACATGGGCCTGTTATAAACCTTTTTTTTTTAAATAGTATACAGCACCCGAATGCATAAGAAATCCTATTGAGGACTTGTCCTTGAAGTGCTGCATTTGAACCCACCACTCACATCTGATAAAACACTGTTACAAATGGCCAGATGTTCACAGAATTGCACTGAAAAAAAAAAAAAAGATAAGAAGTATATTTACGGCCAATGCACACAATTCTCATTTCCCAGAGTTTCTTGAGATCCATACGTTGCAGATATGGTCAAATGCACTATTTATGGATGTCATGAGACTTATTTGTATTTAACTGCTGGCTCCCTACTGGAATTCTGTACTTCTGCTAGTCTTGCGAAGACAGTGGTTTAATTTTGTGATGAAAGTAAAGAATTCGGCAGAATCTAGTTTTAGCCAACAGTACACCTAATCTTCCATTAATGAACATGTGGATTTATGCATATGAAAGAAGATCTATCTGAGCGTAGACAAATATCATTTCTATTGTACAGGAATTACTGTAATTCCCAATGTTATCACCTTGTTCTGTAATTGAGCGAAAGTATATTTACAAAAACTTCACCTAGTAGTTCTGCATTCTGCACTTGGCTGTATATATTATACACCTGCTTCTAATATATTATATTCCTGCTTCTTTCATTTGACCATTAGCAGAACAATAATCGAGCACAACTGTTCACTGGGTTTCTAACACTCTGAACAGCCCCACTGTAACTGAGCCCATTTCTATACTAATTTAGATGCTGTTGGTGAACAGAGGGGGGCTAGTATTAGTAATGGGTAATGTTTTGCGTTCTAGCCCTACACGCGAACACTCTTAGACGTTTGAAGTACCAGCCGTGTTCAGCACTGTGGACAGCGCCCCACCTTAACTTACTAATATCCGAGCCTTTCTGCTCATGTGCACTTCCAGGGTTAATAATGAGGTACTTAAACAGGGTTCTATACAGCAACAAAAAGGGTTCAAGCCAAGTCTGTAACTAAAAAGAACCTTTTTTGCTGCTATATAGAACCATTTTCAAAAAGACACATTTTCCATTAATCTGAAGAATCTTTTCAGCGTTCAAAGAACCATTAAGCATGAAATGGCTCTGTATAGAACTCATGGTTCCCCAAAGAGCCAGATATTTTAAGAGTGGGCATGATCAAAGTGGTCTTTACCCCTCTGAGACTTTGTGGTTGTAACTGTTGCTTTTGAAACAGGAAATGTAAATGCGTTACGCACAGCAGGTTGGTGTCACTCAGTCTGCAAGAAGCTGAAACAAGTGAAACTCTTACGAGTCTTTTTTGTTGGCGTTTTCCTTCACTGAAAGCAAATAACTTTTTCGTAACTGGTTCTTTTTTGCTGTGTTTTTGCCTTCGCCTTTGCTTATTGACATGTATCATTTGCTGATTTTCGTGTGTTTTACTGTGTATGCGTTTTTGCCTTGAAATAATGCAGGTAGCTTCAGCATCGAATAACAACTGCAGGACCACGAAAGCAGGACGGACGAGTCAAAGGTAAAAACAAAAACAAATAAAACAAAAACTTCGCTGCGCGAAGACAACAAACGTGTGTTTAAGCACCTCACATGAGCAGAAAGGCTCGGGTTTCATAAGTTAAGGCGGGGCGCTGTCCGCGGTTCTGAACACGGCTCGCTCTCTGTAACAGACGGCTGAAGTGAATCGCGGCAGAATTACCAGCCGTACTTTACTGACTTTACTCCAGTGTTAGTTTGTACTGGGGTGAAAGTGCACTACTCCTCCTCACACTGTCAGTAACACACACACTGGCTCGCGCACACTTTCCACACCCCCGTGACCACACGGCGTGGCGCACACACCAGCCCCACTGACCTGGATGGTTTGGCGGTTGTACACCTTCACGACGTGGAAATTAAAGCTGTAAATCCCTTTGCGCGGGGCGAAGAAATTGCTCCTCTCCTCGTCGAAACTCCTACCAACGTTCACGAGAACCTGAGGAAGAGAAGAGCAGCGTTTCTGAAAAGCAGGGCTGATGCAGCAGCGCGGTCAGCTCCACATCAGAACCTCCGTCAATCTGAACAGCTTTTTAAATAAACAGCAGAATCTCTGTATTCCTGAAGTTTAAACGTCTAAACTAAACAAATAAAGAAAAAAATAATAAAGACATGAAAACCTGAACAATGTGAATGAAGCCTATACTTGTAACACATGCTCTTCAAAGGTTCTTTAGTGGAGGCAATGGTCATATATAGAACCATGACAGCTAAAAGTGCCATTTGAAAGCTTTAGTGCAATGAAGAACCTGTTGTGTGTGGTTCTTTGCTGAAAATGGTTCTATATAGCACCGCTCTTAGCCTGATTTTGGTACTAGATATCGTTTTTGATAAGGGTGTACTCTGATGTCGATTTTATGATCTAATCAGTGGTTCCAGGAGAAGAACATGCCGAACCTTACACCACTTTCTTCTGACATGTTTTCTCTCCAGACTCCGGAACAGATACCCCCCAACACCACCCCCAACATTTTCCCCTTTTCGCGCCCAGAGTTCCTCACCTGGTCGAAGTAGATGACCATGGTGCGGTTGCTCATCTCTGACGGCTCGTGGTTGGTGTTTCTTACTACGGAGAAGGCCACTTTGGCGCTGCCGGAGCGCACCGAGATGCCCAGCGCGGTGCCCGTAGGGTCCGAGGTGGGGTTGGAGTCGCAGACCACCAGACATTTCCCCTCCAGGACGACCGGCTCTGTCTCGTTCTGCGCGCTCGCGAGACTCGCCAGCCACAAGGCGCCCAGCAGCACGGCTAACATCACCGCCCCCAGGGTCTCCACTCCGAGAGAGAGAGCTGCTCTTCTGTCAACTCACTTCTTCTCCCGCGCGCGGCACGCCAGCAGATCTCGCACGCTCCTCTCCTTGTTTCCCTTCCTTCCTCGCTAGAAATGAACTCCCACCGTTTCGGACGTCCAGATAAAGTTTGTTTGTTTTTTATTCTGTTTTCAGTTTGTCTCGAGCCTTTCCTCAGACTGCCTTTTTTTCCTTTTTTCTATCCTTTGATCCTCGGGTTCCACTTTTTTCCCTTTTTTCCTCCTCTGCTCTTCTTCTTCCCTCACTCCGTCGCGAGGCCCTCGTGCAGTTGGCGCGCGCCTGAACGCATAGCGCGGGCTCCGTCGCTGCTCGCGCGCTCAATTATTGATATGTGAGATATTAGAGGTGAGGCGCGCGGAGGCTCGAGAGCGCTGTTCTCCTGCCCCTCCCTTCACCGCTCCTCCTGCCCTTCCCCCCCTCTCGGCGCCCAATCAGCGCACGAGCGCCTCCCCCCATCGGCCAATGGCGGCGCGCGGACCCGCCTGTGCTTATTATGACGCGGAGAAGAGCGGCCACGCCCCCTGAAAGGATGCTACAGGTGGACTGCGCTGCTGGTAAAGGGCAGGAAGGAGTCGATGCGCACCACCCCCACCAACACACACACCCAACGCCCTCCTCCCAAACAGGGCTGTTAAAACGGCGGCGGATTGAGCTCCTAACGTCGCGCGCTGGACACAAGGACGCAGATTGGCTACAGTTTTTTGAGATTTGATGGATTAAGGGTCAGAACATGAGTCGACAGGACCTGCTGGACACCACAGCATATTTTAAAATGTTTTAATTTTTGTGCTTTTATTGTATTGTTTATATATTTGTGTATTATTTTTACATGTTTACTTGTACTTTGTTCGCATTGCTTTATTTAATGTTACTGTATTTATTTCTCTTTGGAGTGCGTCACTGGACGCCCAACTGCTGAAAGGAGGACACATCTGTTTTTAAACACCTATATGCGTCAAGCAGCGATAAAAATTAGCTTAGAAAAGAAAGTCAACTCTTTCGACTCGGTCACTGTAAACTTTTTACATTTCTATTTATATCTTTGTGTCTTTTTCTTCTTTATTAATTAATCTTTTTCATCTTCTCCTTTGCTTTCTCTATATATCTGTTTCTTTTTCCTTTCTTTATAGCTCTCTCTCATTTTGCTCTTTCTTTATAACTCAACTTTCTCTACATATCTCTTTCTTTTTTCTATACCTTTATGGCTCTAACATTATATATCTGTTACTTTTTCACTTTTGTTACAGCTCCAAATCTCTCTCCCTCTCTTCCCCCTCCCCTCTCTCTTCCTCTCTTTATCATGTTTTTCTCTTTCTTTACAACTGTATTTTCTCTCTATAGCTGTCTTTTTTCTTTCTTATTATTATTTCTTTCTAAATTATTCTTTCTCTGCTTTCTCTACATCTATTTTCCGGTTTTCCTTTAAAACTCTACTTTCTCTACGTATCTGTTTCTCTTTCTTTATAACTCTACTCTGTATCTGTTACTCTTTCTTCATATCTCTAAATTCTTTATATTTCTGTCTGACTGTATGTGTGCTTCCAGTAGCACAACAATCGATGAACACACACACACACGCACACTGAACGCGCGCGCACTCAGCCCACACACTGACCAACTGGGTAACCGAAACTCTATTTTTGGAGAGCAAAGCCAAAACCAGGCAGAAACATACGCAGGCACACGCGCGCGCACGCGGCTGAACGTGTCTCGCCCCGGGCAGTGTGTGATTTCGGGACGCGAGCGCGCTGCCTGTCTGCTGTCTCCGCCGCTTAGCGCTCGTGCGTTGTTGCTCTGCCGTATTCCGCCTGCAGATCGGGGGGCTGATGGAAAGGGCCTGGCGTGCGGGACTCCACCCTAAAAGCCTGCACGCGCTTCTGCCTGCGGAAGGCCTGCGCCGATCACTCTGCGCCAGCGCACTCACTACATGACATTTAATAAATGAGATCAGCGAGCAGGCTTTTGGGTGGGTGGGGGGTGGTGCTGGTGGTGGGGGAGACATGGCGAGCTAAACAAGAGCAACGGACGATCTTGACATTTTCAAAGAAACAGCGGCAGCATCAGCAAAGCATGCAGAGGAATACATAAACTGAGGAGTTAATTAAAGGCACGTGGAAGTCATTGAGAGGCTGAGCAGCGCTTCAGTACCATATCACAATCGATCACATCAAGAGGGGCAAAGAAGAAAACAAAGGGGCTTTTATTATGTTTCAGCACCACAACGGCAGCTCCTTTCAAATAATCACTATCATAAAGAGGCCAGCAGACCACAAAACGGCTCAGTTCATCAGAGAACTTTTAAATTATGAGGTCAGAGAGGTTCGGGGACCTGACCACTTCATCTGTGCCTTTTCCATTGAGGTCAGTTGGCCAGTGAAGTGGGCAGATTGAAGAAGGGCCACACTAGATTCATCACTAACATTAAAATGTTTTGTTACAGTCAAGCTCTTAAAACTAAACAGTTCTTAAATGGTTCTTGGCGTAGAAGCACACCTCAAGGAAAAATGTTGACATAGAACCTTACAGATACTTTAAAAAGTTCTTCACACTCACACATCTCTTTTATAATAATGATTCTTAAAAGAATCATCCACTGAAAGGTTCTTCCGGTAGCCAAAACTGGGTCCTCTATGGCATCACACCAAAGAACCCTTATTAGGCACCTTTATTATAAGAGTGGAACTGAATAAAGGAATCAGGTCTCTCACACAGACGAGTGTCTCCTTGAGTGTTGTAACAAAAAGGCAGAAAATCTGTATAAATCTGAAACTGTCACAAACTCAGCTTGTTTTGGCTATAATATGACTCTGTCCATGCAAGTGTGAAGAAAGTGGAAATGATAAAAGAAAGTGTTAAGACTATCAGGCACATTCCGACTTGCAGCTGCCAAAAGAACGTTTCACAGGCAGCATATCACCTAATGTGTTTTCTCCCAAACTAGGCACTCAGCCAGGAAGCAGTGGATTCACCGAGAACCTTCTCATAGAGTTGTGGACTTCAGAGGATAAAACAAAGAGTCAGAACGAAGCTCACTGGAAACGGCTTTGATTACTGCATACAAAAGCACACAACAAGGAAGTGAGTGTGAGAGAGAGAGAGAGAGAGAGAGAGAGAGAGAGAGAGAGAGATACAGAGAGATACAGAGAGAGAGAGATACAGAGATACAGAGAGAGAGCGCAAGATACACAGAATGAGATACAGAGAGATAGACAGAGATAAAGAGATAGAAAGATATACAGAGAGATAGAGGGAGCGAGATACACAGATGGAGGCACAGAGAGAGAGAGAGACAGAGATTATCATGATGCCAAGGCTAAGCAGTGTTAGATGGGTTATTGGAGCTGGGCTGGATGTGTGTGTGTGTGTGTGTGTGTGTGTGTGTGTGTGTGTGTGTGTGTTTGTGTTTGTGTGTGTGACATCTGTCCCTCAGGAGCATCCTGTCACACACCACATCTTCTGTGTCTCACTGCTGCTGTAGGTGCCTCCATCTGCCCTGCGAGTGAGTAAATGAGAGTGTAAGTGATTGAGTGAGTGAGTGAGTGAGAGCGTGTGTGTGAGTGTGTGTGAGTGAGTGAATGAGAGAGTGAGTATATGTGTGTAAACGTTCGCAATCAAAACCTTGTATCTTCATTTTTGTCTTTTTTAAGGCCTCCTTATACATTGTGTCAAAATTCATCCCAAAAAATTGTTCCAACTTCATTTAGAATAAAATTTACATAAAACATTAACATTTTTTCCTTCTACTATAAACTTACTATTTTAGTGGCAAAAGGTTACCATTTAGTGTGTGTGCACTGAAAAAATGGTGCTTTAAATTGACATAATTAAACATGTCAATTGGTTGCAAAAAATAAAACAAATTTCATGAACACAATAATTGCCAAAACAAGTAAACTCAAAGAAAGCGATTGTGTTTCTGTGTGCAGCCACTTGACACAATAAAATCATCAACCCTGTGTTCTCTGTGTGTACATGTGAGTGTGAGACGAGGGCTTTGAGCTGGGCTGTTAAATCTGTCTGTGTGAAGGTGGGTTACAAGCTACAGCGCGTAGACAAGACAGCAAAACAATCCGACGGGTAACACCTCAGCGGCACGATATTATAATCTGCTCCGGCTTTTAGAGAAACACACACACACAGATCTCTCCCTGCGGCTGTAGACAGGCCGATACGTAAGGCCATTATACAGCAATTAGCATGCAGGCACTTGAGTCCTGAAAACGAGAAGCTAACAACCAAAGTAATTAGTGCGCTAAAATATTTATCACGTTGTAAATAAAGCGCTTTCCCTTAGAGCTTCACCATAACACGACGTGCTCGGCAGTTGTGTTTTGTTTGGAGTGCCACACGCTCTTCACAGAGGAGAACCCATTCAGCGGTGTTAATGGAGCAGCACTGAAGCCCTGTCTAGCGCTAGTGGGTCTGGACCCCTTCCGTCACGCGGTACAGGGACAACAAGAATTCACCTTTAGACCTCACAGACTGATACTAATTATATTACAGTGAGGTGTGGTACAGGGAATTAATATTTAATGAACCTCTTTTCATCTTTATTACAAACATTTGCAGGTGAAGACAACAATTAATTTGATTAGCAGCAAACTGTGTCCACTTCTTTGCTGAAGTAATCCAATCAGGAATGTAAAGCACTGCAAATGAAATTTAGCAAATTGCATTAGACTGTTATTGGCAGCCTGATGGTGGCTCATCAGAAATATAGTTTCCGTCCTGTAGGTGTTTTGGTAATATGATTTAATGTAGGCTGGCACCGCTCCACACGCCTGGGTGTCCATCTAGGACAAGAGGACAGAGGAGAAGGTGAGAGGTCCAGCTGGATTGGGTCTGGTCTAAGTGTACAGCCTGGGTACTCAACTTGATCTATAGATGGTCACAGTGTCTACAGCTGTTTATTTGAATCACCTGATTTCACTGAATTGGTTTCCGTCTTTGGTTATTTACTTCTATGAACTCTAGGTTTATTAGTTGTTTATTAGGCTGCTTTTACTAAAGCAATAAGCCACAACCATGGACCACCAAGCAACCATGGACCACTGAATGAGGAGAATGTCTGTTCACCCATCGCTGTATACTGAGGTCATTTCATGAATTTTTAAACTTCTTGTCCTGTAACAGTGAACATATGATAGCACAGCACTGTTTACATTTTGGTCACCAAATTACCACTGTGAGTCTTATTTAGCACTAATCCAGTGGTGCCCCTCTTCTCATGCTGGGGCTGAATTTCAAATGGCTCCCTGCTCCCTACATAGTGCACTACATAAGAATTTAAATACTGGATTCTGCAACCCAACAG